ATCTTCGTCGGTGTCAATACAGTTGAAGTAATTATCACATACAAGTGTAGATTATTCCATAAATTATTTATTCACGCATTACTGTTTTTTGAATATCATAATACTGTGCAATGTCCGTTATTTATAACAGTACAGTGCTTATGGCCAATGTACAAGCGTAAGAACAGTAAGAACAAGATTTTGTGTTTATGTGACAAGTCAATTTCCCCACTTTTGTATGATTAATTTAAACATCAAATCCATCTTTTTTTTTTCTAGTTTGAGAAATCCTAGTCATCTGGGAACTTGTCTATGTGAGTATGTTCGCATGTTGTTTGCTCTTTTAACTGAAATGCAGGCGTTCACGACGGACTAACCACACTGTATATTTCTCTCTTCTCAAGCTATATACATACATGGGTTCCCCAGTGTAGATTATAAATGATCTACTACAACCCAGAGCTATATACTGTATTCTTGGCTTAGGATATGTAAAACTACTACTACTTGTCGGCATTGCTTGTCACTGTCAGAAAGGCTAACTAATTTAAAGAAAAAATGTTCCACTACCGAGATTCTTGTTCTCGGTTAAATTATTGAAATAGCCTGTTCCACGGTGTAACACAAATACAGATAAATAGATTACAGATAGTGAAGAATGCAGCTGAACGAATAATTGCATGAGGATGAGAGGTTGCGAAGGCATCACACCCGTTTTGATTAGGTTGCATTGACTTCTAGTGAAATTCGTGTGGAGTTTAAAAAGCTGGTGTTTGTTTTTAAGGCATTTGAACGCAAAGCAAAGAAATACACTTGTTAAAGTGGTGACATCGAGAAGTAGACAAACAAACAAACAAACAAACAAACAAACAAACAAACAAACAAACAAACACACAAACAAACAAACAAACAAACAAACAAAAACAAACAAACAAACACACAAACACACAAACAAACAAACAGAAAACAAACAAACAAACATACAAGCAAATAAATAAATAAATAGCTTTGAGCACACAATACAAATACTTGTTTTGAAAGTGTAAGTATCAAAATGAGGTCGATTCAAGTCGTTTAAAGATTGCGGCAGTTTTGGAATTTGTCTTGAATGGCAATTGTTTCACCTTTAAAGCGCGGTGGTCGTCGCGCAGCGCGAGTTCGAATTTCATGTAAATAAACAATGTATTTTACACTCGTTGTATACGTCGCTATGAGTCCCATATCGAACTGGACGCGGCGCGACGACTGCCGCCCTTTAATGGTAAATATGTGTTGCAGGCTACGAATGTTATGACGTCAAACAGTCGTGGAGAATTATTGCAATTCATCGAGTTGGTGAACATCTTTAATCTCGCTATACAATACACATAGGAAATATCAGAAGTAATACCACCATTTCTTGATATTTCCATCAGAGACGGCTGCGATCGTATTTCTACTTCTATTTTTATTAACCCACTTATTCTCGTTGTTATTTACTGTATGAGTCGTCGCATCCAGCTAAATTCAAGGATTCTATACTATTTTCACAATTACTTTATTACAGATTACAGATCTATATCCTCGGGGGCGGACATCCGGGCATTTTCACCGCCTGGCAACCCGCGGCGGAGAAAACAAAGGCCCAAAACTCGCATAAAACGGTACTTCGGGATGATTGTTGAGACTCCCCTGAACAGTGCAACAAAATTAGCCCTACGTGTGTAACATATATAAATTTGGTTGTTCGGGATTACTTTAAAGTTGAATTTGTGTTGTTTTCTCGAATTTTCACCGGCTCGACCGGCGTTCCACAGCAGCGCGCACAGGGCCCATAGAAATGCATGGTACAGTGGTGCGCGTCTTAGCAACGTCTGTGACGTAGCTCCGCCCCCGAGGATATATAGATATATAGTCCTAGAGGAGAGGTTGTTTTCAATAATAAATTCAGCTATATTACCAACAATGTTCGTAATTGCAGTTCATGTAATAACTGTGAGAACCTCTCGATTGGCTCTACAGTGTGTCGACTTCGAGATCGGTTTGCTGAAAATCTACGACACACTCGACAAGATAATCGTTTTATCCAGTTCCACTTCATTTTAATGCTAGGAGCATAACAATGCGAATTTATCAATTTCTGGTATTTGTGTTGTCAATAACAATGAGAATCAACTCAGGCGCATCGAAGAGGAAACTATATTCCGCCTTAGAACTAAATAACCACAGGGAATTACTATTATTTCTGCCTAGTGCTGGTGTACGTGCTCTATTATGAAATCTGTCAATGGCTTCATTTTATAGATGTGTGTGTTCTTACGTTCTACTTACACATTTAGACATTTTTTTTCTATGCTATCGATAAAGATCTATGGCTCGATACGTCTAGCTGTTTTGAATAGTTACCTAAAATAACAATTACCAAATGAGATCTACTATATAACATGTCTGTTGAGGGCGCTCGATTCATTTACTTCTACACAAACATTCGCTACTACCCAGTAAAAAAAAAGTACACCATAGTTAAGTTAACGGACAAAATTATATTACATGGTCAATTTCAGATGATATTGGTTTATTCAATAAAAAAACCCATATTACCTAGTCGTCGATAAACGCGCCTTAATATGATAACCCTTTAAACAGATTTCCATCAAGCGCCATATTGCCATTTCTTTCATATTAGAAGCGCACGTATTTTATTATTGTGGAGGAAAATGACATAATATTGTATGGCGACAATATTGACCATAATGCATTACACTAAAAGTAACATATAATCAATGTAAATCAGATTGATTTATCAATAACGATGCGTCTAGAAGAGGGGGGGGGATCTGTACACTGTATCATGATGAACACATTCACTCATATAGCCCATGCGTCCCCGTCGATGGATTGTTTAAAGTGGGGGAG